GAGGTAGGTCGACTCTATGTGATAAACAATTGGCAACCAAACGGTGGCTCTCCCTCTACATTCGACGGATAATGTGTACAGGTATTTAATGTAATTTTTTAGCAATTTGTTTTTGTAATTCATCCAAAGCGATATATTATGAAATTAAATTAATCACTCAATAAGTTTTAACGTTAGATTGTTTCCTCGATATGGCCATGGTGGTCATCAGTGACTGGAGTGCCTCAAATGTTTAGAATAATTAAAATAAAATAAATGTTGTCAACTAAAAATTTTGAACGTCATAGTTAGCTAGACATTATTTTCAATTGAAAAAAAAAATTATAAAGCATTAATACTATAATCCTATGCTTAAAATGTATTTTCTTGTGGCCGCCTGACAGCAACCTGTAAATGTGGCGTGACAGTGAACGTGTTAATAAGTAAATGTTGTTCAAATTATGTCGTGTTTGATGTCATTTTCATCAGAAAAATCTCATCAATATGTTAAGAAAAATTTCGGGATAAAAAAAGTTGATATTTAAATCGCTTGGTTGCCTCGACTCACGTTTCATGCTTATCTTTTATTCGCTGTCCTTGCCTACGTTCGGCAAACTACAAAGGCGGGCGCGAGTCTCGTAAACGTAGTCCCTGACTCTACGAGTGTCAGGTTTAGCTTCCTTGCGGTCTGACAGTTGTGGAGAATATACTGTATATCCGACATTACGGTACGCACGGTCCTCACAACCACCCAACCTTTCCATCCTTTGGAGAACGACGTGGTAACCACATGCGTCGAAGGTTCCAATCCTATCGGACTTGTTCGAGTACGACGTATCACCTACATACAGTGAACGTTGCGACCGGTCCCCCAACCCAAACCAATATTACTCTCCGTGTGAGGACACGACAAGCGTAACCCGTAACAATATGTATGATTTATTTCCACGTTAGTTTTTTAAAAAATTTCGACAATTTTTTAAATCTTCATTTTTTAACACAAGCAAGTAGCAAACCTTGCTGCTTTCCTAAAAAGATCTTCGAGTGCAAGGGGTTAAATTTTTGTTATTTAGAGAATTAAGTAGAATTAAGTAAAATTCGAAGAATGTGAGAAAGTGGGCTTAATCATTCCGGTTTCTGAGTGGCTCAGTTGTCGAAATAATTTTCTTCAAATAGTACAGTATTTCACGATTTTACAAGTAGAATCGAAAATACGTGTTATTAAGTGAAATAACAATTTTTTAAAGAAATATTAGGAATAATATGAAATAAGTTTGCATTATCATTTCGAATACTAAATTTTCCTCATTGGACGCTAGCCTAATATTGTTAATATTAATCGCTTACTCACTCTACGCTATATAAACCTAAACACAAATGTTGCGACATAGTCACTCTTGCTCGGTGGAGAGAATTTCATTCATGTACGAAAATAAGTAACGCATTACGTACGATTTCGTGGAAATGACATCCGAATATTTCGTTGTACGCATAATGAGACAAATATTTACTTCAATGAACCATTTCAAGTTCATACTGAAAGATACACACAATTGAATTACTTACAACACATTTGTACAAATCGAATAAATACTTCGAATAGTATTTAAATTGACAGAAAAATACATTATCAGTTTGTATTAACCAATCTAACAGAATTAACCTTCCTGAACTCGCGTAATTTTTCAGCGCAGAGTGACAGTGACATGGTGATTTTTAAACGATCGGAATATGGTATTTACACCGTACAGTTTCGTGTAACTCATTTTTCATATTTATTTGGAATTATTGTCGAATGAAAAAATAGACAAAGTAATTTGGAAAAATATTTATCCATTTCTGTATCAGTCTGTAGATGCAATTCTTAATAATTCGAACTTAAGAGAATCATTTCTGCGAGTATTTTTATATTTTACCCAAAAATGGTTTTGTAGCCTTCGAGATAAAATTCTTTAATCTAAATTACAAATTATCATTGAACGGTTAATTTAAACGTGTCTATCATGTTTGATCAGTTAAATTTACCCATCGTTGTTAATAAATTTTGGTAAATTGGGGAAAAAATTGCCACGGTTACGAGGTGCAATCACTGAAGAAAATTAACCATTTGCAGTTGTACTGATCTGAGACATGAGCGTTGAGCTGGTCGAAATGAATTTTCATTGAACGAACGCTAACAATAATGTTTATATCAAATGAAACCACAAATAAAGATGAAAAAAAATTTTTACACATTCCACATTTCTTCATCGTACGATAAGCTTTCTTCGTTTCTTCATTTTTATACTTCTCCGTCGTGCGCAAAATTACAATGATCTTTTGCTTCGGTTTTGCTTCCGGTGGCTGATAGCAGACACACGACCGCCAACGGTCAACAAGAATCCACGAGATTAATTTCTAATTGCAGGGCATTCGGCGTTTTGCTCTGGGAAATTATGTCCTTCGGATATATACCTTACACCGGGTGTACTAACAGAGAAGCTATGGCAATGGTAACATCGGGCGGTCGTTTGGAAAAGCCAGCAGGATGCCCGGATCCAATTTACGGGATAATGACACGATGCTGGCATCCACGACCAGAAGATCGGCCTAGTTTCGCGACTATCGTCGAGAGGATCGGTTACTGCTTACAGGTGAAACTCGTCGATTCGTCAGAATTCGAACTGTGTAAACGAACTCTAATGAACGAACTTCACACTTAGGATCCCGATGTGATCAATCTTCCAACGCCGAATTTCGACATTCTGCCGATTTGCGATCGCGAAGTGACCATTATGAGACCAGATCCAGAAACGGAATGCATCAACGTGCAGTCAGAAGTAAGTGTAAACTTCGATCTTCGTTTTGGTTGCCTTTTTGTCCCAATTTAACGATACTTGTTAACCCTTTGCCTTGTAACAACGACTCATCGGAGACAATTGTATCAGCAATACAGATTAATTTTTCTTGTAAATTTAATTCGAATTTATAAGGCTGAGAATTTTTGAATTGTAAAGGATGTATTAGGTAATACATAAGGTCCCATAAGTTCGTGCCGAAAGCGAAAAATGTTTTAAAGAAAATCCAAGTCTTACCAAAAAAAAAAAAAAATAGAGAAAAGTTGTGGAACGAAAAGGCGCTTACCTTTTTTTTCTTCTATTAAATTTAAAGGTCCCTTGAAAATACTGATCTAAATTATAAAATTCGACGTGAGCTTATGGAATGACCTGATATAATGCATTAACTTTTCTTACTTCGCACAGTGTTAAAATAATAAATAACGTAGGATCATATGCATAATCAGTAAAAAAATTATAAGTCAAAGGGTTAACATTGAATCCGCGATATTTTGTTCTCTGAAGTCTCCCTGAAGTTTCACGTCCTTCAGCAATTTCTTTTTGCCATTAAAATTTTACAGATGAACAAAAAATACTATATTGTTGTAAAAGATAATTATTTTAGTTTTACTGCACCGATAGGCAAATGAAAAAGTTTATCCCTTCGCACTGGAGCTGTTACGGCGACAGGCGTAATTACTTTAGGGAACTGTAAAATGTAAAATTCAAGTTTTTTCATAAATTCGTATATGTTAAAAATCATTTTTTTTTTTTCAAAACAAAACTAACAAAGTTGCTAGTTAATCTTATCAAAAAATGCTTGGCGTACAAAGGGTTAAGTTTGGAAGCCACAGAGAACGGTATCCGCAAACGTTTCGAATATTTTAACGGTATTTTTCCAAAAATAAAAATCTTGGATAGAACGAGTAATGTAATTGTTACAGTTGGACGCCTGCGGATACATGCAGCCTAGAATAATCGATCCTCGATCGGCGAGTCAGCGCATAGCTCAAGCTATCGGCAGCAACAATCTTTCCAATACCAAAAACGAGAATCCAAATCGAACGAATTTAAATGAAAAAAGTGGCCTGCAGCCGACAGATCGTCTTCGATTTCAGTCTAATCCATATGGCACTAATATAGACACTTGTGAACAAACTTTCAGCGAAAATATCAGTCGCGATGATTTTGACGATAAAAATGACCACACAGAGGTATTAATTAAGAATTAACGAAATTTATACGAAAGTTTTTTCTTGGAATATACCTTTTTTTCTACGAACATCGATTAAAAACGCTTTTCTGCATATTATCTTGATTAATGGGACATTTATTGTTATTGTTATTATGATTTTAGTTATTTCTCACGAAGTTACTTCTTTATTTGTTTTTAGCAATGGTACTCACGCTATTCATCGACACGTCTTTCTTGTTTTGAATATCTTCATTTCTTAGAATTGGTTTGTGTTATGTTCTCAATATTACTAGCTCTAGGAGAAATGCAATATTCGACGCATTGACTGTAAACGTGTTACTTCTGATACCAGTAATTTCACATATGCTAGCCGTCTAATCATTTTTCCGCTTGTTTTTCAAAGTTTACTCGAAAATACGGATCAAATTTTACTCGGAAATATGGATCAAATTTTACTGGAAAATATGGATCAAATTTAACTTGAATGTGTGAATCAAAGACTCAAAAATATGCAGCAAATTTTCCCCGAAAATATGGATCAAATTTGACTCGAAAATTTTCCACGAAACTATGGATCAAATTTTCCCCGAAAATATGGATCAAATTTTCTCCCCAAAATATGGATCAAGTTTTCGTCAAAAATAAACAAACATATATATCAGTGTTTCGTTGCCATTTTATACTTCAACTATCGCATCTCGTACTTCCGATGAGATCAGTTTTTCATTTATAGTTACCAAGCAACACGGATATCACTTTATTCCGTTAAATTACATATCATCGATGGATGACTCACTGAAACAGTCAATGCGTTGAGACAAAAAAAAGAAAGAAAAGAAAAACAACGCGCATAACATTACCGCGCATTTATTGCAAACATTCGATGATTCACAGGGTAAGCACAAAGGTGACAGCTCGACAAATCGAGATGAAAAATGCGTACATCGAACTTCAACGGACATCGAAAATAGCGGTAAGTTAAGAATTGCAGACAATGGTAATAACCGTCCAACCGATATCGAAACCCGTCGGAGCAGCACGGTAGACGTGACGGACGTGGACAGAAGAAATGGTAACGAGAGTATAACAACCACCGACACCAACTCCGACTCTCTGATCGTTGCTTCTTCAGACACCCCGCCCGACACCACGAATTCGTCACCGAACACACGTACCTGCTCCCCTAGTCACACTGGCCTAAATGCGAGCCCCACTAATGTCAATGGAATGTTAAAGAAAAACGCCCTAAAAGCCGCTCTCAGTTTGGATCCCAGCGCTTTGTGCCGTGGAACGATACCATACGAGAAAATAGCATTCTCGCCGCCGCCGCAACGTTCCAGTACTCCTTCGAGCATGGAGATCAAGAAGGTAATTTAATTACTTCTACGAGTTAGGAAGCTCGCTTGCGGTAGCTTGACAGAGAAAAGTTATATATAACGTTGATCCGGTTGCTACCGAAAGTTACATACTTTGATCCGTGCTTTCTCTTCTGGAATTGCACGGTGAAAATGAGAGAAGTGTGTGTTAAATATGGAGACATTGAAAATTGTTTTATGAAAGAAATGGAATAGCGCTTTAAGTTAGAGAAAATAAATTAATAATTTTTCAATGTCTCATCCGTCACGTTCAGTTTAACATTATCGAGTAAAGCTTACTTATTTCGTACTTATTTCACGGAGTCTACTTCATTTTACACTTGTGTTTAATTAAAAATAAAAAACAATGTGTTTTATGTAACTTCACTCTGTTCAACTGTCATAAAAAGTTTAAAGACGCTCAAAGTCACCCTAGATGCTTCAAACAAACGCTCCAATAATTTGTAAAAAGAATCCTTCGTTCTTTTTTTCTTTTTATTTACCATGAAACAATGAAATTATTATTCGATCCAATTCTTGTCACGTGCGCGTGAAACCCCTGAAAAGCATGCAACCCACATACATTCTGCCTTCACTTTCCACTTTAACCCTAGTACGATCTTCCGTTAAGGTGTTTCGGTCAAAAAAGACCCGATTTTTGTTACCATCACGCCGTACGAACCTAGGCAATAAACTTTTGGTATAATCTCAAGAGGACGTAAACTTAATAGCAGCAAAAATTGTGAAAAAGATAAGAAAGCGATGGGTCGAAAAAGACCCGAAGAACCGTACTAGGGTTGAAATACTCTCGCTGTCTAAAATTGAGACTTTGGTGAGAAAACGATTTCGAGTGCACAGGATCTAGTACGAAAAAACACGCTCGACGATAGCTCGATGTCGTATTTCCTAATTTCCAAGTATTTAGCGATGTTTATCCCTGAATTCGTTTAATCGCAGTTCTATGTATGATGGAACTATCGTCTCTCTGTTCTTCACACGAAGGATTCTCTGGTTCTCGAGCTACCGAGGGAAGAGGAATGCTCCTGCTGAGATTTGTACAAAGGGGAGTGACAGTACTCCCCGGTCGTTGCTGTTGTAACGCGTACGACCAATGCCAAAACATTGCGACGATCCGCAACGATAACAGTTCCAACGGCGATGAGTTTCAAGGAATCCTCGTCGCTTTTGTGGATACGAGACGAAGAATACTCGCGTCGCGTGTACTCCGAAGAAACGCTTCTATAAAAGTGGAACATTGGTGAATTCGAGAAAAGTGAATTGGCACGATTTTTTCATACCTCATTTTTCATTTCTTCGTTCTTTTTTTTCTTTTTTTTTTTTTTTTATAGACATACATATACGAGAATAAGCTACTTTCGTCCACGTTACTAGAAAGGAGATGTGCGTTTAAATTGCGTTTACCAGATGGACGGTCCGCGCGATCTACGTATCGCTATGACGTGCAATAACAATAAATCGATGTCGGAAGGAAAAATTACCGCTAACGGATTTATTTACGGAATCGCGCGTATTTTGTGAATACGAGGAATCGCAGTAACCGTGAAATATCGACGAGCTTGAGACCGTCCATTCTGAAATTCAACTAAACCCTTGTTTCCGAATCTGCGTACACGCGCGCACGCACACATATACGCGTAAATCTACACACACGCGCGAGTGTGTATGTAAGAGAGAGAGAGAGAGAGGGAATGAGAAACAAAACGTGAAACCTGATGTATGCATTTCTCGAAATTAGATGAGTTTTATGGCGCTAAGTCTGAAACGGGGTTATCATCGCGTACCCATATACATTACACTTCGTAACACTGAAAAAATAATGTCACAACCGGACACATTCTATCAGCAATTACAAATATGTTATAAATTAACAAGAGAAACTATGTAGATATATATAGCTGTGAACGAGCTGTTACCGTCGATGTTCCTCCTGCAGAAGGATTCACTGTTGGCAAATTTAGTACAATTCGGATCCTTCTTGTCATTTACAAAAACGTACATAATATGCAGGACGATCGTCACAGAGACCGTGAAAAAACCGTATAATGTATGAAACTTTTTTTAAGGCTGCAAGCGACGTACACAATGTGTGATATACATAGAAGTTTAAATGAGAGAAATCCGAGTGAGAGTGGGAGAGAAAGGGATAGAACGCACGCGCGCGCGAGAGAGAGAGAGAGAGAGACAATACGCTATACACAAGACTTAATTTACACCAAAGAGAAAAAAGGGAAAAAAAAATATACGCCTGTGGCGTTCTTTCTACACATACCTGTAAACCTTTATATACATGTACATACTGATATGTGTGTATACATATACAAGGTGTTCGGCTACCTTTGGTACTGAATTGGAGGGGGGATTTCTGAAGCCGTTCTAATAACAGGGGAATCCCACGAAGTTGACGATCATTAATTTCCATGAAATTTTGATATGCTGTAGATCTCGAAAAAATATTCGACACGTTTTTTTTTTTATCGATAATCATCCACTTTGAAGGAGTGAAAATGATTCTCGAAGTCGGGGGTAGTGAACGTACTTAGTCCAATATCTCGAAATATATTAGAGATAGAGAGGTGTAAATTAACGAAATTTGCATTTCTGAACGATAAATGTAACTGTGTAAATAGATTTGAAAAAAGTTCATTTGTTTAAATAATATACTAAAAATTAATATTCTTTTGTTAATTTTTCAATTTTTTCGAAATATTTTTGTGAGATCTAACACGTACTAAAATTTCATCGAAATGTTCCTTTGTAAGACGAAAATCAAGAGCGACGAAATTGCGTCAGAGGCTCCGTTACGAACAATTAAAATCTGTGCTAAAAGTAAGCAATTCTCGTCGGCCGTCGTAGACGAAGCGTCGCGCGACGAATCGCGAGTGCCGTATCAAACGAAGAAAGACACGCTTCCCTGGCAGTAGAAACTGTCGCACGGGCAGACAATTCTGTGAACATTTCATAATAAAAATCCGACGTGAGTCATAGAAGAACATTGAAATTTCCTACTTGCAAAAATCTACGAAGGCATGTCGAAATCCATCGAATAGGATTTTCCAGTAGAGAAGCTGAATGCGTTTGTAGTTAAATATCACACACCCACGCATACACATTACAACTGTTCTGTCCACAATGTCCACAAAATTGCATAAATACTGTTATAAGCTGTAAAAAATAGCTTTCAGAAAATGAAGAAATAATATTTTACAAGCATTTTCACATATCTTAACATAAATTAAATTGAGAATTAAGAAACACTGTTTTACGCTCCGACCAATACACAAGGAAACAAACCGGGAAAAAACGTGGCTTATATGAACTTCCCGCTAACTTTCGATGTATGTGGTTTCTTTCTTGTTTACAAGTGTAAAGAAATATTTCAACATACTCGATGGTCGTCTACAAAAAGTCTTCGTGCACGATGATTTTCTTATTGAGAGAAAATTATTCTGCAGTTTCGTTCTTGAATTGTTTGTGCTTCGAGTATATATGTATACTTCGTGTTAGGTTTGATCGTGATTTCTAAGGTTATATATTTATGTGTTTTACGTTAGCGTCGTAATGTTACACGTCCTACGTTGCCAGATCTCGTCGGCTGATTTTTTGCTTCGTTTCTCGGTTTGTTTTAACTTCAGTTCTTGGAGGTATCTGCGAGTGAAAGCTGTGCTGTGAGTGAACATGCATAGTGTAAAAAAGTATTACTTAACTTTTTATTTAATTTAATTTTTAGTTTTATTTTAACTTATTTTAGTTTTATTTAATTAATTTAGTTTAGTTTATGATATTATTTTTTAACTTTGTAGCAACTGTTTTTAAGGGCTGAGAGTTGTAGCGAATATTATGTGGATTTTACTTGTTACACTGGAAAGAGCAACGTGATGTGCGTGCCTGTGTGTGATATCCTTGAGAAAATTATTTAGCTGAAAAGGTATTCACCATCTATTCGAAAATTTCGTTAGACAAATTTCGACATGCCTTTGTAGATTTTTGCGAATAGGCAGGTTTAATGTAGTTCTACGATTCACGTTGGATTTTTATCGTGAAATTTTCGCAAAATTGTGTTCGCCCATGTGATAATTTTTACTACTAAGTAAGCGTGCCTTCCTTCGCTTGGTACGGCACTGACTAAACCGTTGAACGCTTGCCTGGCTTAGAACAGTACACGAACATTTCTTACTTTTGACGCAGATTTGAATTGTTAATAACTAAACAACGAAGCCTGTAACGCGGTTTTGTCACTCTCGATTTTCAACTTAGAATAAAATTACGAATCACCCCTTCAATTTAGTACCAAAGGTAGCCGAACACCCTGTATATACATATATATGTATATTATAATGAATTATTACAAAATTCTAGACAAGACTCGTCGAATCGCTTTCATCCTCGATACATTATTATTTTAAAGAAAATAATACAGCCGGACAACGATCGTAACTTCTCAGCAAAGTATGTAATTATTAGAGAAAAAAAAAGGTTGAAGGTCGATGTCGAGTCAAGTATTGAGAAGAACTCGATTAATATCATCGTTTTCGTCGTTAAAACTACCTGACTGTTGATGCATGAGAAATGAATAATAGGATATCCTCGCCTACCTCGTTGACTCGTTATTAGCTTGTGAAAGGAACGATGGATGGTGGACAGTCCATTACTTTAACATCGATCTCGTTGTATACGATCGCTATTGCAAAACAAAAATGGGCAAACGAAAAGACAAACCTTTTGAACGCGAACAAAAAAAGAGCACAGGCCCTTTTTTATTTTTCTTACAACGACGACGTACTTTACGTACGCGCAGCGTATGAAAGTCAACCACCATATATCTGTACGTGAAACGTAATAAAGACATGTTTGTGGAAAAAAAAGAAACGTTGCACCCATGTTATTTATCATTCTCAACAGATTCAACGAAGGAATGGGAATTAAGTTTGATTCAACGATAACCTTACAATTGCAACTAACAAGACCCTTTTAAATTACTTGTTGTTAGTACCTTGCACAAATATATTCGACCTTTACGTAACAAGGTTTGACAGCATTGTTATGTAGTAAGGAAGCAATTTGTAAACCAGTATTATAATACCTTCTGTTCAAGTAAAATAATTCTTTCTTCCTTAACCTCTTAACGCTCACATTTTTCTCAACTTGATGTATAAAAAATGATAAATTATCCTCCTTTTTTTTTTTAACTATCTCAAAATAAAATAAGTTTCTCATTATTTACAATGCTGTAATTCACGTTTTTGTCATAATAGGATAATGTCATAATTTCAAATTTTGTCATAATTTCGAATAAAAGAATATGGAAGATTAAAAAAATAATCAAACAAAACTGCACTTATTGAACGATTAGTTGTGCACGTGTAGAATGCACGAGCGTTAAATGGATTTATATTAAAAATCACGAACGAAATAATTTCATGGAAATACCGTTAAAATACTGTTGGAATTCACACATTGTATTTCGTTGTACCAAAAGATAATATTTCATCGGGGAGGTCACTGCGTTTAACGTGGTGTTTGAAACTTTCCTAATCGAAGAACAGAAATAACGTGGTCACATATCGATGATGGGTAGAATTTCAGTCGGTAGTTCGGCCCAGTTGTATAGCCGTGCAGACATCTGAAAATATAGGTAAGTATAAACGAAGAAACCTGCCGTGAAGCAGACGAGCAGGCACAGCTCCGTGGCACTGATGGAACGAAGAAGAAGGGGTACGGACGACAATTCGAGTGTAGTTTTCAGCGAACAGTACGCGTTTCTGCCGCCCTTTCGAGTATCTCGCGGCTCACAGTGTAGTTCCGTACGTTTTGCGGCTATATTTACCGCGGTATCTTTATTAGGGAGATGTCGAATTATTCCTACTACTACGTGAAAACTGTCGCCGACGGTACCGATAACTCGAGAACGTATAAATTTCAGAAAGGGTAAGAAAAGCTGTTTACACAAATCTCCTGATCGAACCGTTACGATAGTCTGCTTCTGTTCAATGTCACTCTTTCGATCCCCTCTCTCTCTCTCTCTCTCTATCTCTCTTTCATCCTTGTGTTAAAAGGGCCATTGTCCAGTATCTACGGATCCCGTAGAGCGTTAAAAATAACCACTGGTTTTTGAAATAAAACGATCGTTAAGAAATGAGATCACGACGTATTAAAAAAGAACTGCACTTGCTTAAATTTATATACGCGCAACACAGGCGTTAGTTTCTCTAGGAAAGGTGATTTATTCGTAGGAATCCAAGCCTGTTTAAACCACCGGAGGACACATGGTCCACATATGGCCGCTATAATCTTCTGTCACGGTTGCTCAGAGGAGGGCTGTCTGGCTCGGGTGATATCCATCATCCAGCGAACGCTGTTTTCAAGGTCCGTGCACTCGGTTAATCGTACACAATCTTTTTTTTTTTTTGTTTTTATATAATTAGCTACAAACCTGCTGCTAACAATTCGAACCTGAATACAACTCCTAAGCGAACGAACTGGGACTCGAGTAAAGCGAGATACAATTCTGGCGATTCACCAATGAGTTTCCCTTTCATTTTCTCCCATTTTCCATCTCATTAATGACCTTTGGTTGAGTAATGTCGGTAGGGGGGGGGAGGGTTTCTTCTTCTTTTTTTTCTTCTTTTTCTCTCAAGCACCCGTTTGGAACGGCGCCAAATTCAACTTTAACATAAAACGAACCCCCCCGTAGACGAAGCCGATTATAACGTGGAACGAATTCATATTTTTAGTCCCGTTACTGCCAAGGTTGTTACCCAGTTTTCCTGTGGCTGCGACGTTCCACTCCGCCTTCTAACATTGTCCGTTATCTTTCGTTTAGTAATATTCCGTTAGGATATGTCATTTTTCACGTTTGTTTAGCTAATTGGAATAATCAGGGATTAAATGCATCGCGAGGACAATTGTCGTTTCCCTTTTACGCGGTGCAATCTAACGAGGTTTAAGGGCGGATTCTCGTGTAACAGCAGTATAATCGAATGACTCTTCTATATTTTTTTTATTTAGAAAATTATTAACAGTACAAGATTGTTATTTCGCGGGTACATAGATACATTTATAAACTACACAAAGAATTTTTTTTGCTTGTTTTTTGTTCATTGTTATATCAAGTTGTATGCAATTGTTTTTATCCTCATCGACGATGAAACCATTGTTTGGCATCAGAACTTAAAGATGAAAAAAAGTTTCTGAAAATTAGATGGTTTGTGCTGGGATTATATCTATTTGAAACGAAAATTGGGAAAAATTAGACAAATTGTACGGTTTCGAACAAAAACTGATTTTTCTCGGTGAATAAGTTGAGTTTATGTTGTTTAAAAGAATATTGCAAATAAAAAATAAAATAAAGACCAGAGGTATGGTCCCTAGAGGAATGTATAACAAATAGGAGAAGCTTTGTTTGAAGTTGATTAGTCAATTAGTTATCGAGTTATAGTGTCCGCCAATTAAAAAAAAAAACATGGTTTC